TTCTAGGGTTTAAGGCTTCAGGGTTTTAGGGTTTAGGGTTTAGGGCTTCAGAGTTTTAGGGTTTAGGGTTCTAGGGTTTAGGGCTTCAGGGTTTTAGGGTTTAGGGCTCTAGGGTTTTAGGGCTCAAAAGACAGGAAGCACTACACACAAGAGCTGCGCTGAAGCTCGGCATCGTGTAACCCCTAAGCCATCGAGTCGTGAAAAACTGAGGTGCACCTGCCCCGGCGATGTGTGCAAGGCGCCGGAGCTTCTAGACTGGGGTTTAGGGTTTAGGGTTTCCTTCAGCCCCTATAAACCTTAAATATTGCCTTGGTAATCCCCCGTCCCAAACCCCGGAAATCAAACAAGGGCGGTACTAGGGAACAGTGAGAAGTACAAGCCCTCACGAGGTGGAGGACATGTCCAAGCACGCTGATTGTCACTAGATTCTTGAATCTGAAGCGGAGCTCTATCAGCGCTACGATGTTTGCTGGGCTTGGTGCGTTTCTGATCCGCAAGACTTTTTCCAGCCCTATTGGACACCGGAGCGGGGGAGATCGATCTGGGCATGATCTTAGACCCTAAGCCCTAAACCTCGCGCAAGGAATGGTTTCATTGCCTTCCTGAAAACCTGGGGTTTAGGGTTTGGGTTTTAGGGTTACATACTCCGCTGATTTGCATGTGGTGGTTCTATATTGGGGTGCGTTTCGAACGACATTCGCCAGGAAATGGCTGACATGGGCAACACAGTTGCTCGTCTTTCTACCCATAGGCCCCTAAGTAGTTCCTTCTTGAGATTACCTTATAGGATCTTAAATCTTAAATATTAACCATAAAAAGGAACTACTTAGGGGCCTATGGGTAGAGCACGAAATCGTCGCAGGTTGTCGCCACTGGCGCCATGAGACGATGGCAGAAAGTGCTGTCCAACCACTTTCAGGGTTTAGGGGCATAGCAAGCAGGGTGGACGTGAACTTGCGAATCCTAGATCCAGCAAATAAAACCCTAAAGCCTAAATCCTAAACCATTCAAACTGAACTATATGCTCCCTTTTCAGTGGGGTGTTTTGCTTGAGGATTTTCATCGGGGCTGCAATTGAAGGACGATCGGTAGTTGAAACTACGAAAAGAGTTGCGACCAGGATTTAGATAGTGGGTTGTAGGGTTTTGCGTTTGGGATGTGGGGTTTAGTGACTAATGTTTAGTGTCTTCGGGGTTGGGGCTTCGGGCTCTCACGGCATTCAAGCTCCCTGCGAAGTGGCTTTAGGGTTTGTTGGTCCCGTGAAAGATTGAAACGCGAATTCAATCAAAGAAGGAATCTTTGATCCATTTTGACCCATGCACCAGCATCTTCAAGCTATGAGCCCTCAAGTCATTATCCCCTACCTCTTTCGAGCCATGTGCCTTCAGGCACTAAATCACGCAAGCCCAGACCCTTTCTGTTGCTACCAAGCAGGCCTTTGGCGCTGGCGCAGACTTCGTGATGCTAGGCACGCGGACTTTGGTTCCTTTGCTCACCGCGAGGATGTAGAAGCTCCGGATCGCTTGAGGGTTTCCTAGGTAGTATTCGGGAGACCCCTTAAAGGGGACCCTTCTGAACCCTACTTGTCGCTCTCTTAAAGGGGGCCTTATTGAGAGGTTCTATATCCCCCAGGGTCCCCATAATCCTAACTCCCAGGGTTTGGGGCTCTGGATCGTGGCGGGTTTAAGTTTAAGATGGAAGGCTCTTGGCTTGTGGTCGAGTCCGTAAGTTTCCATTACCACTACTATTCCTTAGGGTTCCTTGTTATACTTGTATTTTAATGTAGCCCAAAACCCTGTTCGAATAATTAAGGCGCCTATTGCACCCTAAACACCAAACTCTAAACCCCGAGCTCATACACATTAGGGGTGGGGGGGTGGGGGTGCGGGGAAGTGGGTGGGGGGGTGGGGTGGGGCGGAGTGGAGGGGGTGGTGGCGGCTGCTCGGTGTGTTGCTTGATTTTCGACAGATCCGAGAGATCTGCTCGATTGCTGACGAGGCAGGAGGCGGAGGCGATCAGCGATTCGATCTTGAAGTTCCTGCCGCTCTACGAGCAGATGATTAAATTGTCCGTGCCTCGCAGCTGCCCACGCTACAAGGTCATTCCGAAGATACACGTGCTCCTGCATATCGCGGAAGATGTTGTCGAGACTCGCTTGAACTACAGGCATTATCATTGTTTCATCGACGAGGACGTCATCGGCCAGCTCAAGGACCTCACGGTTAAGCTTCCCAAGGTCGGCTTAGGGTATTGCCTGCTCAGTCGCTGGCTGCTCCGGCTCGGCGCTTCGAAGCCGATTCGCTGGTGGCGCAAAGTGATTTCTGCCCACCGCTCTGAATACGATGCAAGATGTTTGGGAGATCTATATCTGTTTCGTTGGACTAGACTCGATGAGTCTAGTGCAGCTGGCAAGGCCTTCTAGTCCAGCCCAGATGGCTATGCACCTTAACCCTGAAAACGCTCAACCCGCTAGGTGCCTCCAAAACCCAATCGGAGCCAGACCAACAACCAAAACAGCCAGGTGACTTCAGGCCTCAAGCTTTAGGCAGCGTCAGATCATGGGATCCTCGCGATTGTTTCGCAAACTTCATATCCATCATGCATCCATCAATGGTCTCCCAAGAGTTTTTCAGCTCCTTCCCTCTTGATGTTCAGGGTGTTCAGGGCCTATAGGGCATTGCTGGTTGCCCTCCCAAGGCGTCTTTCTCTCTTCGGGCTTCCGGGTTTCCGGGGCTTAGTGCTACATATATATATATATATATGCAACCATTAATCTTATGGAACTATGGATATATGGCATGAGCATGAAAATTGTGAGCGTAGGCCCATTTGGGGGGGGGGTATTCCCATACTTTTCCTCATCTTAACGCAATGTCTGCACTATTTGCAAGCGTTGGATTCAGAGGGAAAGGTATTTGTCTGCAATGTCGTGTGTCATCGAACACCCTTAAAAACCTCCTTTTTTGGGTCCCTTATTATGATGTTGTTCATATAAGTCCTTAAAAAGGTAGGTTCCTTGGGCTCTAGGTACTTGATGATAAATGAACGGGTTGACTCACAAGCGCCAGGACCCGGGTTCAGGGCGCCGAGTTTGTTCCAAATACCATAGCCTAGTCGAGTTTGTAGGGTCATACTATTAAACCTTGAAATTGACAGAGGATCACAAACATGCCGGGCAAGCTGCACCGAGGTGTTCTTCGTTGAGTGGAAACTCTTGATGTAAGACATAACCCTAAACCCTCGACCCTACGGGTTTCAGTTTATATTCTGCAGAGCCACGGTTTAGGGTTTAGGGTTTAGGGTTTAGGGTCACTTGAGGCTTTAGGGTTCAGGGACACTGGTGGCGAATGACCCGTGCATGCAAGAGCCTTCCAACTTAAAACCCTAGACACTAACCTTAAATCTGTGAACCATGGTTTGTCATCGTATTAATTAAACCCAAAACCTGAACTATGAGCACTATATCTTTAGGAGCAGTCATTCTCATCTGCTGAGCTGGGGTCCTGTTTGGGGTGCTGTGTTTTGCTCGGTGTGATGGCCGCAAACCCACGTTCGCTCTTATTCCTAGGGCTTGTGTGCCCAGGATCGGCAACTGGTGCCTTTCGTTATCTGTGGCTCTATTCGGATTTGGGTTAGGTTTCAGGGTTTACCTATAGTCTCCTTTGTAGTTCCTTTTTGGGGTTACCTTTTAGGATCCTTAATATAGATTTGGTTAAACCAAAAAAAGGAGCTACAATGGAGACTATAGGTATATAAGGTTCAGGGTTTAGCGACATATTCTTAGGGATGTCTAGGGGGGCTTAGCAAGTCGAGCTCTGGTGTTTGGGTTTTAGGGGTTTTTCGCGCGTGGGGGGATTGCAGGTCGGAGTCGGCCTACGTCCCGCTTGAAGCGCTTCGGTTTAGGGTTTAGGGTTTAGAGCGCTTTCAGAATCTCCGTATAGTTCTCGAAACTTTCCCCTTTTATTTTAGGTCCTCGGAAAGGGACCCTCAAGGGGGACATTAATTTAGAGAAGTGCGGGAATCTACAGACGCAGGTGATTGTATCCACAGTTGTATTCTTGGTCCATATTTGGGCCAAGTCTTCCTGTTGGTCCACATTGTGGTTGATGCGCTCATGATGCTGGCTTTAAGGCCGGCTTATTCTCGCACACTGGCGATGGGAAGCAGCTGATGCTCATGATTCTGGCGGCCTTTAGGTGGCATTCACTCGCACTGGCAACAGGAGATGCAGCTGAGGCTCATGATGCTGGGCCTTCCGAATTCAAGTGCATTGGCAACAGGAGATGGGAAGCGCTGATGATGCAGCTGATGCTCATGATGCTGCCTTTCAGGCCTGGTGTTCTCGCGCTCTGGCAACAGGAGATGGAGCTGATGCTCATGATGCTGGCTTTCAGGCGGCTTGGTTCTCATGCACGCTAGCAAGAGGATTTGCAGCTGATGCTCATAACGCTGGCCTTGATGCCGGGTATTCTCGCATTGACTGGTAACAGGAGACAGCAGATGCAGCTGATGCTCATGATTTCGGCCTTCAAGCCGGGTAGCCACATACACCAGCAACAGCAGGTGCAGCTGATGCTGATGATGCTGGCTTTTAGGTTGGGTATTCTCGCGCACTGGCAACAGGACATGCATCTGATGCTCATGATGCTGGCCTGTAGGCCGGGTATTCAGCTTCAAGAGATGCAGCCTGTGCTCATGATGCTGGCCTTCAAACAGGAGGTGCAGCTGATGCTCACGATGCTGGCCTTCAGGTCGTGCACTGGCAGCAGGAGATGCAGCTAATGCTCATGATGCTGACTTTCAGGCCGGGTATTCATGAGCAAGGGAGGTGCGGGTGATGCATGAGGAGATGCAGCGAAAGCTCTAGAAGTCTTTGGTGTTTTCTGGCTTTTTTTTTATCCTTCCGAATTGCGGCTTACGCTCAAAACTATCGAGACAAGAACTTTAAAGCAGCAGGCTATAGGATCCGTTAAGCCCTGTTCCCGAAACCCAGAACCCGTAGAGCAGTACATTCTCGGACTTACCAGTCGTGTCTGCACCATAGCCGTTCAGCGTCGCAATCGCAGGTGGCATGTTGGCCGGTCACGAAGAGTGCGCCGGCGAGGCGCAACCCGTATCCTAAAACCTGTGCGACTTGACTTGGCACTCCGTGTATATATATATATACACACCTCTACACATACATGTGTACATACATGCATAACAATGTAGCATACTCATGTTTAACATGAAACTACAATATATATATATGTATGTATGTATGTATGTATGTATGTATGTATGTATCTATGTATCTATGTATCTATGTATCTATGTATATGTGTATATATGTATATATGTATATATGGATATATGTATATATGTATTTATGTATATATGTATATATTTGTATGTATATACGGATATGTATAGATATATGTATATATATATATGTATATGTATATATGTATATATGTGTCTATGTGTCTATGTATATATGTATATATGTATATATGTGTCTATGTGTCAATGTATATATGTATATATGTATA